CCGGATCCAGGCTGCCTCTTAGATTTGCAGAACTGGATGCAGTGGTATATGTGTGAAATGCAAGATTAAGGTCAACTTTGTGGTAGTCTTGATTAGTCTTTCCACACAATGTTATCAGTTTGGTCACAAGGGGATTGAAAAGCTGATGGTAAGCTTCCAAAATTGCAAATGCTAATGGCAGTATTGTTTATAAATAGGTGACATGAAAGCCTGGAAATTGTGTTTTACAAATGGCTGCCTCTTAGTTTGATTTACAGGTAGTTTAATTTTTGACACACTACGTATTTCCTCACTTTGCCGTTTTTTTCTTTTCTCTCTCCAGGCTGAGCTTTGAACTGGATGACCATTACACAGGCATGTACAAAGGTAAGGGGCGCTCACCATTTCCTGCTCTATCCCAAATTAGTTATTTGATGCAGGAAAAAGTTGCTAAAATCAGGCCAATTTCCTGAAAACTATAAAACAATGTATGATACATCGGCAGCCAATACAGGACAGCCAGCTACAGAGTAAAGGGACATCAGTGTCAAATGTCTCCAACTGTGTACACGAGAGCAACTTTCAAAGTCATCAGAAGCTGATTGATCCAAAGTATCCTTGTTTTAGGTGTATTGATCTTCTATGAGTGTCATGTTGTGAGATTCATGTTTTTCTGCTTGTTTAAAGATCTAATTCTGGGAAATTCTGATCTTTTTGTTTCCTCTGACAGTTCTGGATGCCGTGAAGGCACATAAGGATTCCTGGCCTTTCCTGGAGCCGGTGGACGAGTCTTATGCTCCCAATTATTATGATATTATCACGGTAAGCTCATGGCTATGCCATAACCAGATCTTAAAAGCACGTACAAGCCACATGCACACTAGGGAGATGGCAAGCTATTGTGAATTATTTGTGAACATTAAAAAACAAAATGCAAAGGGGGAATTTATCAAAACTGGAGCAGTTGTCCATAGTGCCAATCAGTTTCTCTCTTCTGTTCAGTTGAGCTTTGAAAATGAAAGATAGAAGCTGATAGGTTGCCATGGGCAGCTGCACCAGATTTTGTCTCCACTTTGATCAATTCCCCTCAATGAGTTTCCTTTCCCGTCACACAGAGCTGAAAAGATTCTCATTAAAAGCTATAAGCAGTTTGTGCTCAGCAGATAGTTAAGGACTTTATATCGCCAACCTAGGCCAAGGGTTTCCTGTTAACTGACGTGCAAGGTTTACTCTAAATACAATTGCTATAAGTATCTGAATTTACCCATCAGCTTCCCCTGGTCTACTCCACACAACATCACAAGATCCATTTTTCTGTTACTCCTTCATTGTCCAGTCAACAAGCTGGGGGTGAAGAGGTGACACCACGGAATTTGTTTTGCACACATGTTATAATCCACCTTTTTAGGCCTGAAAATTACTTCAAACCCCCAAAATATTATATTCTGAAAGCGGAGACCCTGAAAAATAAAATGGTGGCAGTTGCAAAATTTTTTGTTGCATGATATTAGCACACCTCCTTATCAAACCCAAAATTTAAGTGAAAAATACGCTTAAAGGAGAACTATGAGGTGAGTGCTTTTCACTCACCTCATAGTTCTAGCCGACCTGCGCCAATGAGACTGTCACAGGTCGGCTCAGTAGATCGGGAGGTGAGCGAACACATACCAGCCTTCGCTCACTTCTCGATCCTGTCACGGCTCTCTGCCGTGACAGGGGAGGGACTGGATTCCCCCCTCCCCGCTCCGATCCGCCAGCGCTGACTGGCGGAATGGGAGGGGGCGGGTACAGCTGGCTTTGCCTCTAGATAGGCAGAGCCAGCTGTCACTCACGCAGCTGGGCGGATCCAGACATAATTGTCGGGATCCGCTTCAGCTGCGGCGTCTCAGTATACCGCGTAGCTCGCGGTATACTGAGCTTAGGGTGACGGGAGGACGCTAGTTTTGTGTCCTCCCGTTACCCTAAGGAGAACTATGGGGAAAAGCTCTAATCCCATAGTTCTCCTTTTTAATTGCTATTGCAAGAGGGCTTACAAGCCCCCTATGTTGTAGCATACTAGTGGTAATGGTGCTCTGTAAGGAGATATTAGGGGGTCTATTAGACATTAGACCCCTAATGTCACCTTTTCACTTAAAAAAAAAAAAGGCTATTGGAGCGCAGATCGTGCTTGAATAGCTTCCTACCTGGCTTCTGCAGCTGGAGAATGACAGCTGAGGGACCAGAAGTGAGGCAATCGGCATCACTTCTGGCCCCTTTGAGTGGGCAGGAGATTGGCGAACAGATGTTAAGAATGTTCAGTCCAGCATGTTTGGGGGGGGAGCGCACTACACCGGCCCCTGGAAGGGATCTGGCGACAGCTCAGCCGCCAAAATCTCTTCCAGTGTAAGGTTGACAATCGGCTTTACACATGTAAACGGAGTCTGTTTACCTGCTGCCAGCTATATATGACATGCGTCGCTGGCAACCAAAGGGTTAATGAGGAACTTCACCCATATCTTCAAAATAACAAAGGTACCTTTTAGAAATGCTTAGTAATGACATTCTACAAACGGATGCTTCTGGATAATTGCCGGCTTTATTTTTTTGCGTACCTTGTTTTTTTTTTACTTCCCAGTCTTCTGACATTTGTCCATTATAACTAAGGGCAGGTTACTAGATCTCCCTTCACTTCCTGGTACTCTGGCACATGTGACCATGCACATCATCTCGGGGGGAGGTAAATGCCTTTCCCTGAGATCTCGTCAGATTACAGATGAGATTTCCCAGCAATGCTCTGTTGATGCAACCTACCTTGGATGCAGCGCTTGGGCACAGATTACATAATTTGTGCCAAAGTGGACCCGGAAGTGGAAATAAAGAAATTTGTAAATAAAATAAAAATGTTTGTTTAGCTAATGAATGTAAGATGGTTTCATATCAGCATGCACAGCTGTATGCTGATGTGATTTTTAGTCAAAGGAGGTAAAGGTCCATTTAAAAGTACATAAGATCTTATGGGAAGATTTTTGTTGAAATAAATGGTCTGGTGAGAGAGAAGGGGACGTCTCTTAAAAATATATATATATTTTTTTTGTGCTGCTTGGCTTGGGTCTGTAGTAATGTATTTTGTGGTATCTCAACCAAATAGAGCTCAGTCAGCCAATAATTCACCTTTCCAATCCTGGCTCCATGGTCCTAACTGCGCCCTCTCTCCTAGTGTCCCATGGACCTCTCCAGAGTGGAGCAGAGGTTATCCTCCGGGTACTATCTCACAAAGGATCAGTTTGTCAGCGACGTGAAAACCATATTTAGGAACTGCGTCAAGTACAACGGGTCGGATAGCGGTAAGTTATGATAAAACAAGTGTCGCACTGCTTGTCTAAGAATATAGCTGACCTTCACCGCTTGTTGAGAACAGAAAGGTATCGTAACAATATTGCATACGAGTTCACTGTTTACATCATTTACACTTTTCATATTGCCGTTGTCACCAAAGTGCCTATGAACATTGTTCGCAATGGAAAATAGTGTCCGTTCACTAAGCTGCACAAGCGGTAGACATTGGTGTGAAGTCGTCATTTCTGCTCCTGAAACTATTGCAAACTTTTGTCCTTATGGGGAAACATTTCCTCAAATATTCTCAATAGGTACCTTTTTAGATTCTCTGTTATGATTTAGATGTGACACGTCACACCAGGGGTTGTCCCGGAGCGGAGACCGGGTAACACCCTGCCGTGACGTCATTGCGCATGTGCGGTCACCTTATTGACGCCTGCCCAGTGGCCATTTTGGTGATGGACGCCGGCAGAGAGAGAAGGGGACGTTCACCCGGCGGGATGAGGTATGCCGCCTGGTCCCTTCGTCTCTCCTGACACTGTCGGGCTCTCGGTCAATTACATTTTGGTGTCACCCCTCCAATGGTGGCACCCAGGTGCGGGCCGCACCCCCCTTGTGATGCTACTGTCACACTGCACATTAACGATATTCAGTCAGTGACTTTTCCTAGACTAAGATGATGCAATCACTCTGTTGCAGGCAGGAGGAAGCACTTGCTTGGTCTCCTTTACCCCAATGATAAGACTGCAACATAGTAACGTTGTAGCAACTCAGGTGGGAGGCTGCAGCAGTGGCTGATCTGTTAGACATTTCTGAACAGTCAAGAACTGCACAGGCACCAGGATTTACATTGTCATGTCTGAGCCGGAATCTCAGTCCAGGAAGTAGGTGATGACTTTTGAATTGAGAGAATGAACAGATAAGACACAGCTGTGGAGTTACCATTGGTGGAATGTCCTTAAAATAAGTAGGCCGCACAAGCTCATACAAATCATTCGTGGAAAAAATTGCAGAAAATTCAAAAATGGCCTGGCCAGCTGATTTGAAAAATGTTCCGGAGGGCTTGGCAGCGAAAGGGTTAAACCTTAATTTGACTGAATCTGAACTTTCTGGTGTATTTCAGAGTACACGCAGATGGCTGAGAACCTGGAGCGCTGTTTTAAAAAGGCGTTGCTCAAGCACCTCCCAGACGACGAAGGCGACTCTGACGGAGATAGCTGGATTCGAGTCGATAACAAGGAGAAGCCCTACAAGAGGCAGGCAAGGCGCTCCAAGGTCGGGGGTTGGAGAAAGTCGAACAGCGGCCGAAAAAGGCAAAGCTCAGAGAGCAGCTTGGTGCACCAGTCCTCACCCAGTGAAGATGGAGATGACTTCCTGCTGCCAGCCTCCAATAAATTTCCAAAAGGGCAAATGCATCCTCACCCCCTGCAATACGGAGGAACGCCGAGGCCATCTTTCAACCCAATGGATATGGTAAGTGGTGCAACTTTAGATTTCAGTGTGAATTTCTTCATCTTTGTGTACAATTCTATCTATGCATAGCAGACTGTACAGCCAGAATGTAACACATGGCTAGCTTGAGAGTCTACCTACTTAACGATCCTGAATGTAAGTGCATGATGGGTATCCCCATGATCCTACTGCTAGCAGGACTCACTAATCATTGCTCTAAACTAATAACAGCAGTGGGGCTTTATCTTGCCACCCCTGGACGGGGCGAGGGGGGGGGGGCTTTCTCTTGCCACCCCTGGACGGGGAGAGGGGGGGCTTTCTCTCGCCACCACTGACTGCCAATATGAAGAAGGTCTTGTAGAGATTTTTTTGGGTCTGTATTTTTTGGGTGTGAGTGCCATTAAAAGTTTTCATAATAATGTATGATACCGCTGTGTCTTAGGGTGGGTTTACATTTGGTGTGAGGATTATGAATATATTAAAATGCCAGTGTCTTTGCTTTTCAGCCTATTGGAGGGACTCCTGAAAAGTCAGACAATATACAATCAGACTTTAGACCCTCTCCGGACATCCGCAATCCTTCAGGACCTCCATTCCCCATGAGAACTCCTGGGCATGAAGATAAGCAACACCTTCCAGCTCCATATTCTTCTGGCTTTACATCACAGATGAGACCGTTGGTACCAGATGGAAAAGCACCTCCATCTGCCACTTCATACCCATTATATAGACATGGCCTTCCACCTATGTGGAATGAAAACAGACAGTCGAGCCACCCTCCTGGAGCTGAGCCACACCACTTCTCCCAGCCAGTAGAGCAGCGCTTCATAAGACCTCCAAGATCCAACTTGAATGGCCAGTACTTGTTCAGTGGCTCCGGGAATTCTATGATGGACAGTCCAGAAATGGTTGAGATGCAAAGACTAACATCTTTTATGTGTCCTCCCGAATCAAGCTATTCGTCACAACCCATCCCTCCATCTCACCCATCCCAGCCTGCATCTACACCATACCCACCCCATTCTGGAACTACATCCTATCCAAAGCAACCAGCATCCTCAACATATCCATCTCAACAACCATCTACCTCATACTCAACTCTGTCAACACCCCCACCACAGCCATCTCAGTCCACACTACACCCAAATAAGCCAACTCATACAACAGTTCAAGCCCAAAGTACGCCTTCTCCCAATCCATGTAATACACCAACTCAATATCCAAAGCAAGCAGCACCCTTGTTACACTCCTCCCAGCCATCATCTGGTGCATATCCTTCTCAGCAAGCACCTGATCCTCGAACAAACCAGCCATCTTCTATCCCCTACTCATACCAACCAACACCCTCTCCCCAGTCATCTCAACCAACATCTAACCCACATCCAACCCAAGCAGGACCTTCACCAAGCTTTTCAGAACCAGAATCTCCACCACAGCTATCCCAGCTAGCATCTGCCCCTTGTCCAACTCAACCAGTATCTACACCCTGCCCAGCCCAACAAATATCTCCACCACACCCATTTGAGCCTACATCTGTCCCATGCCCTGACCCACCAAAAACTATTACCTGCTCAACCCAATTAGTACCTCCATCACAACCATCTCAACTACCATATACCCCATACTCATCCCAACCAACACCCCCACCAGATCCATCCCAGTCTCATGCCATGTCCAGCCCTACCCAGTCAACATGTACACCTTGCTTAGCCCAATTGGCATCTCCGCCACCGCAGACACAGTCTACCCACTTCCCTTCACAGCAAATTCCTACCCCCCGCTCACCCAAGTTAACTCATAGTCCCGGCACGTCCCAACCAGCAACCTCCTCTCAGGCACATTTGAACCCTTGCCCATCTCCACCATCATCCAACCTCCACCCAACTACACCACCCCTTACCCCCTTCCCATCCCAGGAAGGACTTACTCCTTACCAGCCAAGTGAAAAACCAGGCCTAAATAGCAAAGCAGAAGTCAGCTCTGTGCCTACCGACCAGGATTTGTTGAATGAAAAAGGTAAAGTAATATACAAATACAACTTCATGTTTTACCAAATGTATACCTGGAGTGTGTTTAGAGCAAACATTCTCAAGTCATTTTTCATTTTTGTCAGCTTTTTTATGTTTTTTATTTTTAGTAGAATAGGGAAGGGTTAAAACAAAATTAGATAATTCATCTTAGCACGGACACGGCAATAAAAAAAAAAAGTTTTTAACCCTTGTATGGTCTACCGAGAACTAAAAAATGAAATTATGGCTAAACATCTAAAACCAGCATTTTTTTTTTCTAGTAGAGGATAAAATCCCTGTCAAGTTTTATTTTGCAGTCTGTGTCCCATTGGGGAGATTTCCCTTCATTTCTCTTTTGGAAACCCAACAGGAAGAGAGCATCTCTCAAAATTCCATGAAATCCCTTAGTTGTAAGCAGAAAAGGATTTTTAGTCCTGGTGACAATGGTCAGTCTGCCAATTGAAGGGAGGGACACATTAGAAAACAGAACCTTGACAGGAGTTCTAGCCCTTCACCATACTATCCCAAACAAAACAAAAAAAGTGCTTTTAGATGTACTTTAAAGCTGGGCTCCGGGATGAACAAATATGGTATAAATACAAGAGTCATGTGTATTCTTACTGGAATCTTGGTGAGCGTTGTGTATTTCTTCTAGATCTGTGCAGTAATCCAATGTGAAACTTGCAACTTCCTGTAATAAAGACCGGTCACTGCTGCTCACACTCCTTGTGCAGGGTGACTGGTCTCGTCTCCGCCCCCTCCTATAGTTTTCTGCAGGCAACCTGTGTTCGGTATGCCTGCTGGGTCCCTCCACCAGCTCTGCTCTTTGCACAGGCTATGTACAGCACAGTGATGACGTCACTGCTACTTGCAGTATAATATCTGGGTTTTTAAATGCATTTGGTGCACACACATTTGTATCCTTTTTGGCTATTGAGGAATATAGCTAAATGAAAGTTTGTGTCCGGAGTTCAGCTTTAAGCAATAATGTGTATATTTAATGGTTTAGGTAGTGTTAGAGTTCCACAGGGCTGCTGGACAAAAACAAATGTCTCCAGGGGTTAACTATTTTGTCATGAAACCTAGTCCCTTCATGCAATAATATTTGGTTGCTATCATGACTCTTATTTCAAACTTTTGCTTTTCAGACTTGCCTCTGCCTTCACCATCATTGCCTCCCCCGACTCTGCAAGCAGAGACTCCTCCCACACCTGAGGTTTCACCATCTACAAATGGAGGGCATGCTACAGTTATGCCCACCCAGGAGAACCCTCAACCTCCAAGCAGCACAGAGCCTACTGGTTTGAAGAATGGGGAGGAGCAGTGGACTTCTGGAATCGGCAGTCAAGTTGGAAATGACCAGAATGCAAAACTGGGCTCTCATAATGGTTTTGGTGTTGCAGCTGTGCCACAAAAGCCAGCTGAGATGCCCAAGCTGAAGGAGTCATTGGCTGGTTCCACCAAAATAGCATTGCAGCAAGTTAAGCAGCAGGACACTAGTCCACACCAGCCTCCGGTAAATGCTTTTGGACTAAGACACCAAAATGACATGGCTCCCATCTATCCTAGTGGTCACAAACCCGGGCCTGTTATGGGACATAATTTTGGTTTTCAACAGCCTCCAGGCAATCAGCCATCTGCATTCTCGCCTAGATTTGGGAGTGTACACCAGCAGCCTCACCAAGGATCATATCCCCGGTACCAGCACCAAACGGAGGCATATCCGTATCACCACCCTCAACATGCCCAGCAACCATACCAGCATTACCAGCGGCCTCCTTATTACCCTCAGGAATACCAAAGTTGGCATCAGTCTGCCCAGCAGGCTCCCCAGCACCCAGGTGGCTACCCCCACCAGAGTGGGTCCTTGGGCATGCAGGACATCGGTGAAATGAGGAATCTTCTAATGTCTACTTCGCTTGAGGGTGAGCCCAGGGCGGTGCCCGGTGACAACTCAGAAGAGATGGAAGATAAGAGTGAAGGCTCTTTGGAGAGGCCAGAGAGCCCAAAACAATTCCTGGACTTGGACAGTCACAAAAGACAAAGTGGAGGCTTCCCCTACGGCGTACCAAACAGTTGGGGTAACTCGAACTTCCGACCTCCATCTAATATTATGCCCCAAACTCATTACCCACCCCAGCACCACTACCAACCCCATGGGTACCCCCAGCAGCCCTTGCGTCCAACTCGCCACCCTGTGCGTGGGCAAACCAATGGCCAGCCTCGGTTGGGTCCCAATTACACACACATGGAGAACAGGGGCCACTTCCATGCAGTAATGATGGAGCAGAGAGGAGGCATACCGCAGTTTCAGGATATATACCAGCAACAAGGGTAAGAATAAAAGAATATTGGTAAACCCTAGAACAAGAATGTAATATCTTGCAACTTAACAGTCCACAGATGTGGTGGCTGCCTACATTTTTTTTTTCCTGACCAAGTATGATCTGTGTGGGCACCAAAAATACCTGTTGATCCTGTCTGAATTCCAGGGTCTTGTAACTTCCTGTGCACTAACCTGAAATTTTAAACCATGTCATCGGCTTTCCTAGCTATCTTCTGTCAACGCAGTGTCTTAGTTGCAAAACACTGGAATTGACTGGCTATTTGAATTATTGCTCATGGGGGACATTGTCCCAAAGTTGCACTCCACGTAGATTTGTAATGCAATTCTGTATTTATTAAAACTGGGAGCGTATGGACTAGAGGAGAGATCAAAGTTGACCTGGCTGATGATTCTCCTTCATTGTCCAGTCAGCAGGCTGGAGGTGGATTTCTCTCTGAGCTGTATTGCTTAGATATATTGGAGGGTCAGAGGCTTGGCTGCGGAGTGTGGCAGGGGCTTCTAGCGAGTAAGACTAGGAGAACAGAATGACCCCGACCCCCCCCC